ATATAGTCAAATATATTGTTAATTCTTATTCTCGCAGTGTTATTCATCAAAATATTATATAAAATATAATTTAATTATATATAATTTATAATATAATTTAGTTAAAATATTAAATAAATAATTATTCTTTCACACAGGATTACTTTGTTTTTGTGAATGCTTTGGAAGGCACTCTTGTATTAAGAAAATCATTGGATTATGAAACTCTCACTAACTTCTCCGTTGATATTCGTGCTCAAGTAAGTTTAATGATTATGTTTTAAAAAATTGGATATTAAAAGTATCATAAATTCTAAATTATATTATTATGTTACAAATTTGACATAAAAATTATATTGCATAAAGATCAATATATCTAAAAAAGTTATTGCGTAGAAATTTCTCTTGTTAAAGTGTAGAAATCGGTCTCGGATTATTAAATTAACAAAATTTCTAAATAGAAGTTGTTCTTTTTATAAAACATGATCCGCGAAATCCGTAAACTAATAATAGAATTGGTGAAAATACCGCAAATCGATCATAACGAGCTTGAATAAATTGATTTAAATGATCCATGCGTATCGATACGCAACAGTAAACAAGTGAAGATTATAGAGGATCTTGCTCGAACAATACTCTTTTTCTCACGCTATTATATTCTGGCTTCAATAATAGAAAGCCGAAAGTAAAAACTTTCTTTCCTAATGCAATTACATATAATGTAATAAAAAAGATAAAATTTTATAATGAAAAATTAATGTTAACTTTTATCAGTAATTTAACAACAAATAATCTTTTTGACAGGATCAAGGTAGCCCACCTCGTTCATCAACAACAACATTACATGTAAACGTTGGCGATGCTGATGATCAAAATCCAGCTTTTTTAAACGATCAATATAAAGTCACTGTACCTCGTCATGTCAAAGGAGTAAGATTATTATTAGACTTATTTTTTAAATAAAGATCAGACCTAATTCTCATTTCGATCAGATTCAATTCTATATAAGAATATAAATAAAGAATTAAAAATTTTATAAAAATTAATTTATCAATTTTTAGAGGAAACCGTTAAGAGTAATACCTGCTGCGATAAAAGCCGTAGATCAAGATGTCGGCATAAATGCAGCAGTCCGATATACGATACAAGGTGGAATTTTACCTTTTCTGGATTTGAATCCTGAGACTGCTGAAATCGTCATGATTCGTTCGCTGCAGGACCACGAACTAATGACACCAGCGACTATTGTTATTAAGGTAGAAATATCAATTCATTTTAATTTTTGACACATTTAAAAATATATATATATATAATATATAATATATATTATGTATAAAATATAATCATAATGATATCATCCATTAAATATGCTCAAATAGGCTACTCAAATAAATAATGCGGATAGATATGCTCTTGCCACAGTTATTGTCTCGCGAGAAGATGCGGTTGGTCCAACAGCAGGTAAATAATACGTAAATATGATATAAATATGATTTTTTTCAATAAAAGTTAATTTTTATAGAATAATTTTTTTAATTTTACATATATATATTTATTTATTTATTTTATTATTTATATCAAAATTTAAATTGAATGCATGTCATTGTATATGCAAATATCAAACGTCAATATAATGCTTAAAAAAATAATCGTAATAAATGATAAATCGACCTATTATTGATTTATTTATCAAAAAGCTTAACCGATGCTTATTTTACGGATACTAGGTGGCCGATTACCCGTAAAATTTATGCTGAAGAATCATGAAACGAGTGTACCAGAGGACACGCCACCCGGTAGTGTTCTTCTAACGACGGGAGTCAACAAAGCCGATTCTGTAAGTAATGTAAAAATTTGCTTCAGCAATAAAAATACAAATAAATCATAATATAGTAGCGTAGTATAGCTTTTGATCCTAGAACTTAAAATTCTGGCTGGTGGGGCCTATGGAAGATTTAGAGAGATTCTCGATCACTAATTCCGGCGAGTTAATTCTCAAAGGCAATTTGGATTATGAGCGACGGATCCAGCACAGCTTTTTGGTTCACGTCACGGACGGATATCATGTACGTTAATATTTTTAAGTTATTTTTAAATTATTTCTTATTAAATTTATTATAATATTTATATATAATATATATGCATATATTATAAATTATAATATAAGATATATTTTATTATATGAACATGCAACACACACATATATATATATA